AATATCGTGATAGCAAAACTGTCTTGATAGGTCACATGACGATATGAAGCGCTAAGTCTAAAAGTGTAGTTTTTAAAATATATTTAAACTTCTTAATCTAACATAAAAGGTCTTTAAAGTTGTGTTTTGGGCCATTATGCTTTGGCACAGTATCTGTCAAAGGAACTAAAACCGAAAGCAGCACAAAATGGCTTAATCCCTTCATCAAGTCTGTTTTTGCTGCGTGTTTTAAAGCGAAGCTCTCACATTATGCGATCAGCTTGTGATCCGGTGTTTTCCGCGCCTCAGAACGGCTCCATTCACAGTAAATGAATGCAGTGAACTTGTTTATTGCACGTGCTGTGAGTTTAGCGCTCGTTTGGGAATGCACCGGCCACCATTTATGCTTTATTTTCGCTGCAGATGATTACAGCATTGTGGATGAGATTGTGGCTGGCATACCCTGTCAAATGCGGCTTTACGGAGCTCAACGGCTCTGAACGGCTCTAGCCCATGCTGTGATATAAACGAATGCTATTGGCTATTTTAAAAAGGGGTGGTGCTGCTTGATATGTCCCGCCCTGTCTTCCTGTTTCAGTTAAAATTACGTCAACACATAGAGTAACGCTGCGTGTTTCTAAGCATTTCAGGGGACCTTTAAAGGTGCAGTATGAATTAAATGCAGTATGAAAAGGTTCAGTAGCGGTTTAAATGCAAGTGTAGAAATTATTAGGAAAGATTTTCCTACTGTATTATAAAGCAAAAATAATATACCTATGAAATATTAATATTCACTTATTTTACAGTGCAATTGTTTTACAATATATGGCTATTATTGTTATTGTTATTATTATTATTATATTCTAATTTGTTTGGCTTCCTAAAACACCAGTGTGAATGTAATTTAGACTGAGAACAGTATATCACAAATAAAAAGAAGGTTGAGTCCCCTTTAAAGTTCAGGTACAAGTCAATTTACGGACTTTTTACGCGTTGCGTTGCATCGTGCCGCATAAACATAAAACCATGTCTGCATTTGTGATCGGAGAAATGACAAACAACAAGCGCTACTCTACACTGCTCGCGTTTGAATCATCAGTGGCAAATCCTTTAAATATGAAAACGTACTTACAGACTGTGAGTCAGAACCGCCGGCATTGTAGTCTACTCTCCCAGGATCAGGAAACAGTCCTCCATAAAATGCGCTGCACACATCTGAATATTTGGGTTGAAGTGTTCTGGAACAGTGTTGTAAATACAACTTAACCACTGATTTCTAGTCGTGTCCTCTTTTGGAAGACCAAACAAAGGAGTTTCGCTTTCACAACGAAACACACAGCGTCACACACGGAGGGCTTGCGTGAGTGGCGGCGGGTGGGCTTGAGAATGGCGCGGCCGGCGATTTCGACGAAGGAGCGTCCGGAAGGACATGTGACGACTCCGGACTGGACTCCGCTTCGTCCACGGTGAAAGCCGATCCGGCGATCCACAGCGCGAAGTTGATGTATTTCCTCAGCGACCAGCACGGATCAGCTCCAGGCATAACGAAGCAGATATCGTCCTCTTTTGAAAG